TCCTTGAACCCCAGTGGGCCTCAGCAGATGGCCGCTCACACTGAGCCTGGTTCTGCTGGAGGTTCTTCCTGTTAAAGGGGAGTTTTTCCTCTCCACTGTCGCTACAAGCATGCTTAGTGTGAGATTTGCATCTGAGTCAATGAGTCGATGCAATCAGCTGGTTTTCCTCAGATAGAAAACTTTGAATCAATCTGACTGGATGATCTGGTTGAACTGGAAAGTGCTTTGAGATGACATGATGTGAATTGGAGCTATAGAAATAAACTGAATTGAATTGAAAATATACATTATTTAGGATTTTGATGAAGATTCTCAGTCATCCAGTTCATAGTCATTCCGTAAAAGTTTAAAAAACAATCCACTGGACTTGGTTCAAATCTTGGAAACCAACTTTTAAGGAATATTTAGGATTTTATGCCTAAAAAGTTACGTTTCACAAAACACACAGAAATTAACTGTGATTTCAGTTTCCCACACTAAATTTGTAAAAAATGTATAGTTAATTATGTTAAGCTTTTGTTTAAGTTTTCACAATAATCTGTTTATAATCTTTATTAAATTAAATATAAGCTAAAATTTAAGTAAATAAATTGTATTCACATCATAAAAAAACAGTCAAGTGACTCAAAGTAAAACTTCTTGAATAAAAGAAGCTCTAGAGACGCAGAGAGGATGAGGACGCTCACCATGTCTAAAATCCCGTCCAGAACCATGTCCAGCTGAACCAACGTGGTCGAGGTCCAGTTCTTTACAGGACGTGAAATTTTAAGAGCTTGATTCGACGTCGTCATGTTCAGGTGATCCAGCAGACCGAAGTATGAGCACTCTGAGGTCCTGCTGCAGGGAAAACCTGCTGGGAAACAAAACAAATGTTTTAAAACATAGTTAACATGACGACTGAAGAGTTGATGCTGCAGCAGCTCACCGGCTAAAGCCAGAAGAAGAGTCCTGAGAGCTGCCATGACTGTTTGCACCCGGCTTAACCTGAGGGATCCTTCATTATAAAGTCTACAGGTGTTTACATCCATAAGTGCAAAGTGTATTTAAATACGCTTCTATGGTTCTAGGTTGTGTGTGAAATTGATATTTGTTAAATCTGTTGAATGTTTCCTTTGTTGAACTTCAGTAGTCGAAGCTCAAGTTACAGCGAGAACAAACACTTTTTTTCTTTTAATCAAACAGTCCTTAGTTTAGATAAAAGTCTTCCTGAAAATTGATCCCAGGGACCTTTTATTACAGCTGCTTGGTTAGAAGGTAAATACGGCATTTTTCATGGGAAATGAGAGGCTGGAACATTAATGATCTAATAATATTTACAGTCCTTTTTAGGCCTGACAGTTCATTCTTCAGGAGAAGAAAGCAGCAGCCAGGTGTTTCTCTATAAAAGCAGCAGATCAGCTGATAACAGGAAGGGAGGACATGACCTTAGAGAAGAGGCTGCTTCCGTTCTGCTCATCAATCTAATAAGGCTGATTTCAAACCAAGTGCAGAACATTAGGACAGCTGTCCATCTTCCCACAAGTAATTCTCCTCTGAGGGCGTCACCTGCAACGTCTAAACTAAAGAAATGAGAAACAAACTGAAGGAGCGCCATCGCAGAGTCTACACACTGCAAAAAAAATGTATATCGATGTAAGACTTTTTTTAAAATAAGTGCATTTTTTCTCAAATTGAGTGAGAGAGACTTTGCCAATGGAATAAGGCAATTTACATTTAAAATAAGAAAAAAAACAACTGCAGCCTCTTATTTCAAGTGCATATAATCTGATGTCATATTGCAATGCTAAAAATGCTCATTCAAGTTGCAGATCATCTTATTTTGTAATCAAATTGAGGTTAAATACACTTATTTTAAGATTTTTTTCAGTGCAAGAGTTTTTGCAGTGCAGGCCACAACTAACCGTCCAGGCCAGAGGAAGACGACTGATTTTTATTCCATAAAATGGATAAAAAAACCATCCTAATGAGCCGTAAGACCAATAGGGAAATGTTCTTTGGTCTGACGGGAGAGAATCAGACATTTTTAGAATGTAGGTTGTGCCTTTTATTGCATCTGGCAAATTATTTCATTTTCAGAAACGGATGCAAGGCATCAAATACTGTATGCAAGCGGTGGTGTGATGCTCTGCTTTGCTGCTCCAGGACCCCTATGACTTGTACAGTAATAGATATGAGTTCAAGCTAAATTTTATTTATTTTTTAATTCTTTTTTTTCATTTTGATAAATACAGTTATAAATAAAATGCAGTTTCTTTTAAAATAAGAAATGTCCTTTAGCAGATAATTAACAAAAATTATGATAAAATGCAAACCAGTTTTATTTTTGCTGATATAAGGTCAAAAATGGGTCTTTGGATTGTATTAGTTAAAGACCCTGGATATAAGCCAGTTAAGCCTATATATATATATATACTGCATTAAGTTTTTTTTTTTCTTTTTTGGTTTTTAAGAAATGTTTATATTCCTCAAAAGTAGTTGAGAATAGTTTGGAAACTAAAAGGTTTCTGTGCTGCAGTAAAAAATCTTTTACTTTGAAAATGTACACCGGAAGTGTTGGTCATGCGGTTTCCGGGTTGGTCAGCTGATCGCTTTGATAGCTGCTCAGCTGGGCTCAGCGTCACAGCCTTGTCACTCCATTAGGATGTGTGTTGGTTTGTTTCTCTTGATATTATTTTCCTCCTCAGTCTGAGAACCAAGCGGCTCATGTTTGCTCCCGGTGTTTGTCTCGGTTTATTCGGTTAGCCGCCTGCGAGTATCGCTTGGAGCCTCCTGCTAGCTTAGCAGCTAAATCAGCCAGCAGTGGAGAGAAGAAGGTGAGTCTGTTTACCTACTGTCTGTGCTGCTGACACCGGGGAAGACGGTTACAGAATTGCACAATAAATGTTTGTTTTTATCAGCAAACGCCATGAAAAAAAATTAAATTAATTTTGAAAAGCTGTGAGGGTTTAACGTTTAGGGTTTAGCTTAAGGGCTAGCATGCTAGCATCAACAATAACATTTCAAAACACATCATTTATTTTCAGAGAAAAATCCTTAAGTAAGATTGGAAACATCCTGAAAAAAATAATGATTTCTTTTATCTCATTAAGATATAAATCTGAACATGAAACTTGAATAAAAACTCAAATAAATCAGATTTTATTCCTTTTAACCCAAATAAATGAAGAAGCTTCTGCTTCTTTGCATCTACATGAATAACAACACGAACAGAGACTTTTAAAGCAGGACAAATATCGTTTATATCAAACAGTTTCATAAAATAGCACAATTGGAACAGTTAGAATTCATCAGAATCCATAAAGATGCTAAAATAAATAATGGTAGATATTTTAATTAGCTGCAGTTTTTTAAACTGATGCTGTTAATTTCTCCTCTTTTCTGACATTTTATGTATTTTGTAGGTTTTGTCCTTTTGTGACCTTTGTCCTCTGCTCTGAAATTAGATTTTCTGATCTAGTTGAATCATTAAAAAAAATCTACTAAGTTTCTCTAAGAAATAAGATTAAAAGACTAGGAAAGAAAGTATTTATCTACGCAGCTCCTTGTGCGTGTAATTTTTTTACATAAAACCTGGAAGTTGACTCAGTTTTTATCTTTAAATGCTTACAAGTTGAAAATGAAAGAATTTGAAGCAGCCTCTGTGATCTGTAATTGTTTTACTTGATATATATATTTTTTATTACATGCCATTTAATTGAATTATCTCTGTTTCTTATGTAACTTTGCTGCCTCTTGGCCAGGACTCCCCTGAAAAAAAGGTTTATAATCTCAACGGGATTTTTTCCTGGTTAAATAAAAAAAAAAAAGGCACATTAATTAATGTTAATTGGACGCAATGCAAAGATTAACAGAATTGATTTGAATGATAAATCAGGTTTGATCATTTTAATTTTGTCTCTTTAATTTATCAGAAAGACATTTTGGCTTCAAAATAGACATTTTATGGGTTTGACATTAAAGTAGTAAGAATAATCTGGAAAAAGAGACTTGATGTCAAAAATCATGATTGACTGTTTTTCGTCTGGATCAATTATAGTTTCTTACAGCTGAGAAAATAATAGTTTGACTAAAACTTTAACCTGTAAATCTGTTTAAAGACAAAGTACATAATAAAACAGTTTTTAGTAAAATCAATAAACCAGCTAATT